CCCTCCCTCCCCCACCCCGCACACCCCCACAGCCGGAGGGCCTCAAGGAGATGAACGCCCTGGTTGAGTTCTACAAGGAGAACGCCACAATCCTCAAGAACACCTTCCAGGAGATGGGCTTCCAGGTGGGGCGATCCCAGGCGTGGAGCCATCTCTCAGGCGTGGGGCGATCTCTCAGTCGTGGGGCGATCCCAGGCTTGGAGCTATCTGAGGCGTTGGCTGTTCTGGGGTTTGGGGCTGGGCAGGGGCCATGGTGTCTCCTTGCGTTTGGGGTTGCCTTGCTTTTGTGAGGAGGGTCCGCTGTGAACGCCTGTGGGGGCGTGCGTCCTTCAAGATGAGTCGTGATGAGTCCATGGATTGCGGGCTGCCGCCATGCGGGATCATATGCGAGCGAGCGCTCGGGGTCTGCCAATTGCCGCAGCGTTCGTCAGTTGTTACCACGCGCGCGTGCAAAGCGTCGTGACGTCACCCTGACGTCACCATGATAACAACATGACGGCGCCATGACATCACCGCAGGTTTTCGGCGGCGAGGATGCGCCCTACGTCTGGGTTGGCTTCCCGGGTGAGCGAGGCCGCTGCGTGTGCACGGGCCCGGCCGTGGCTGCCCTATGCTTGCCCCCACTTGACTGTGCATCCATACGCCCCTGCACCCCAACCCGTTGGAGCAGTGCCACCCCTTGCCGCCCCCCCACCTCCCAGCCACCGAGCGGTCGCCCCCTTGCTCCCTGGCCCTCCCCACGTCCCCTTTGCCGCCAACCCAGCCTTTTTGCCCCGCCCACCCCGCGGCCCCTCCCTTGGAACCCTCTACAGGCAAGCCCAGCTGGGACGTGTTTGCCGAGATCCTCGAGAAGTGTAACATCGTCACCACCCCCGGCAGCGGCTTTGGCCCCGCCGGCGAGGGCTTTGTGCGCGCCAGCGCGTTCGGCAGCAGGTGCGGCCCGGCCCACCGCTTTGGGGGGAGTGGGGGTGGTTCGGGCGGCATGGCCTGCTGCGCCGCGGAGTGTGGGTTCCGCGGCCCGCCCTTTGGGGGGGGGATCATGGGCAGGAACGAGGGACGGCCTGCTGCGGCGCCTAGGTCGCACGCCTGCTGTGTGGCGGGTCGTCTTGCTCCTGCGACAACGCAGCAACCCCATGGACGCCGCCAGTCCTGCACCTGTTTTGCGGTCCCCGCGCCCAGCGTCGGATGCCCGCGTCAGCTTGCGCGCCCTATCCCTGCAACCCTTACACGGGGGACATCATCCAAAACCCCATCTGCAGGGAGAACATCCTGGAGGCTGTGCGGCGGTTTAAGAGCGTCTACGGCAACAAGAACTGAGAAGGAAGCTGGCAGGAAGCTTCCCACTTATCAAGTCAAACCACCAGGCCTGCGGCGCTGAATTGAGGCTGCTGCGGCCGGCTCGGTTGTAATGTGATTTACAGGGTGCGGATCGAGGTTCCTGCCCGTGCTGGCTGCGCTGGGGTGTGCCAACAGGGCGGCGTCCCAAAGCCAAGAAAAAGTGACGACTCCAGGCCAAGGCAGACGCATCAAACAGGCAAGGCCGGAATCCCAGGCAAGGCCTGATTACCAGCCAACACCTCCCTGCAGAAACCTGAGAAGATTTGAGAGCTCTGTTTTAACGCACACGGTCACCCTGGGCACTTCAAGAAATGCATGCAAAAGTCAAACCTAGATACGCCACCAACAAGTCAGGCAGTCATAATCGAGTGTGGCAACTTGACGACTCTCTCAGCCGCCCCTGCCTGCAACGCCGCCTCGGCAGACAGCCGCTGCTACAAGCCGCGTCACTGCTGCAGTCCCTAAAGGATGGCCAAGCCATTTACTTGCTTCATCCCCTCCACCGGCCCAATCCAGACCGGCGATGTGCCCTTGCCGTCCCGCCCCGCCGGCGCGCCCGCCGCTGTAAAGCGCAGCACGTAGCCGCGCTTCCCGCCGGCCGCCTCCGAGGCTGCCACGTATATGAACCCGCCGCGCGCCCGCAGCTGCCCAAACGACAGCGCCGCCGGGGCGCCCGCCTTGGCCCCGGGGACGCCGGCAGCCGCGTCCGCCGTCTTGAGCAGGGCGCCGGTGGCGGGGGAGTACCAGCGAAGCTTCCCCACAGAATCCGAAACCACGAGCAGCTCGTTGTCCGCCGCCACGGCCGCCGCCTTGGTGCCTACCGCCGACGCATTGCGGGGCGCCGGCGGCGCCGCCGCCGATGACGCAGACGCGTTCGCGCCGGCCGCGGCGAGCGCGCCCTTTGCCGCGGCCGGCGGCGTGAGCGCACGCGCGGGCACCCACGCGAGCCCCCGGAAGCGGCCGGCCGCGCCCGATGGGATTGTGGCGACGAGCTCGGGCCGCCCGCTGCTCAGCGGCACCGCGAGCAGCGCAGATCTGAGGTGGGGCGGGAAGGAGATGCTGCTGTCGCTGCACCAGGAACCCTGGGTGGCGACATAGAGGATGCGGCCCGCGCGGTCCAGCGCGAGGCTGATGGGGCCCTGCGGTAGGAAGTGAGAGGGGCGGGAGCAGCGGGCCGAGGACACCAAGGAGGCGGCAGACAGGAGTTAGGCAAGGAGGTTGGGGAGGTGCAACCAAGGGTGGGCGTTCATTGTCAGGCGACGGCCTGCGGGGTGTCCTGGGGTCCAGTGCGCTCATGCGGCTGCCTGCAGCGCTGCAGCTCGGTCCTCTGGGCTCTGCTGGCGATGCTGGGTGCTAATGAGTGGATTCACACCCTGCACCAACGGCACACGGGGGGCGCCATTTCAAGGCGACGCCGACGGTGACGTCCGCCATAGACCTGCCTGCATGCTGGCTGTCGTGTTGTCGCCGCGCGCCAGAACATACAGCAGCCGCCCCGTCTCCGCGTCGTACGCCGGCAGCGCGTCGTTCCCGACTGCCGCCACTATCAGCTGCCGCCGCACGCCGCCGCCGCCGCCGCCGAGCGCGGACGGCACCGCGGCATCGACCCACGCCAGGTCAGCGGGCCGCCGCAGGTCGAAATTCGGGTGCAGCTTGCTGAAGCGGCGGAGGTTGCCGGAGCCCGACGTGCGGAGCGCCTCGATGGCGCCTTTGAAGTTGCGGGTAGAGAAGGGGTCCCCAAAAAACGTGGCCAGCAAGAGCTCCGCGCCGCCGGGCCCAACGCGCACGTTGCCGGCGCTCCACGCTCGCTTGCCGCTCGGCACGCGGGCCGCGGGCAGCTGCGCGCCGGTGGAGAGGTCGAAGGCCCGCCAGCCGGCCGCGGAGCCGACGGCGAGGGCGGTGGCGGCGGCGGGGCGGTCAAGCTCGACTGCCGAGGGGGCTGGCGGCGGCCGCTGGTCAAGCTCTGGACTTGACGTGGTGGGGACGGCCGCGGCCCGCGGCGCCGCTGCCGCGCTGCTGCCGCCGGGCCGCAGGAAGCTGAGCGGGTGCAGCAGCGGCGCGAGCCACGGAGGCAGGGCGCCCTCGGCGCTGGCCGGCTGCAGCTGTGCCAGGAGCGCCGCCGCTGCCACCATGACGATCGCGGTGCGGCCGAGGCGCGTGGCGCAGAGCGAAGCGCTGCGAGCAATGCGCCGTGAAGGCATAATTTTTGGCACGGGAGCGGTTGTCTCCTGCTGACTTGGCATCAATAGAATGCCACTGTCATAGCGAGTGACGCCGAAGCCGGTGACGCCGCCGCTGCCGCTGCTGCTGCCGCCGGTTGTGCGCCGATAGCCTAGGTGACTGTGGGTGCTAAACCAGTCAACACTCCGCGTTACGGTACATGTATGCAAGAGCTCTGTTTATCAGCAGCCCGGACCAGCGAGTTATACCCACTGCACGCGGGTTAGTGAACGTGAAGGAGGGCGATGAAGCGGATGAATGCTTAAGATGTCACTAAAATCTCGACGTCCGATTTTGCGCGAGTATCCTACTCATGAACTCACCACCTTGCGTGCACACACTGCGGTGACTGAGCGGAGTGCGTGCCCCTCGCGATCAACGCGGCGTGTTCGTGTCTTGCGTTGCTCTAGCATAAACTTGGATGATATTAGAGACCTTCTACCAAGTCTCGAAGTCTTTTATGATGGCTGCCAGTACCATCAACAAGAAATGGTCCGATGGTTACGTAATATGTACCTACTTGCATAACATACTCAGATGTGTATCGTGTACCATAAGGATCCAAGAATGCAACCCAAATCCAGGTAAGGCCCAAGAGGCGCGCTGCTCTACTGCTTTGATCAACGTTCAACTGGCAGCGGCCCTGAAGCACGCGTTGCTGCACATACAACCGCGCTTTTGTGGCGCCGTGGACCGCGCGCCGCGTTGGCCCGTCAGGAACCAGGACAACCATGACCCACAACATACCGGTGCACGGAAAGCAAAGCAGTGTGCAAACTGGCCGGCCGTGCTGCTGGGTGCCGGGGCAGGCGCCCGTCATGCATCAAGACATGCTGCACATCATGGCAACAAGCTACCTTGCCTGACCTGGACTGTGGTGCGGGCAGGTGGGTGGCCACCCGCAGGCCGGAATTTCAGTATGTACGGATGCGAAGAGGTGTTGTGGGGCTACTGCACACAGAGCAACGTGAAACAACGCTTGCAAATCCTCCTGGTGAAAACAGCGGGGAGCAGCCCATTTCAGGGAGCTCCACAATTGAGGCAGAAGGGGGTGCCGGCTGGCGCAGCGGGCCGGCAGGAGCGGACAGCATTTGTGCGGGCCAGCAGGGGGCCCGTTCTTGTGTGTGAGCAGCCACCACATCAAGGGATGCATGGGGAGCACAGACAGGAAAGATGACCCCAATTGTGCTGACAGCTGAGGAGGCAACAGTTTGGTCGGCAAACATGCACCCGTGAGGCTCGGGATCTGGGTTTTCAAACTCCGGCGGCGCAGGGCGCCGAGCGGTGGCGCATGCAGAAAGCGGGCAGCCAAGTGTATGCAGTTGTGACGGCGCCTCGAGGTAAGCCAGCAATGTGTATGCATGGCCCAGGGGACAGCTTGGTGGTGATCTTTCGTGCGTGTATGGGGTGGGGTGAGGTGGCGCGGGGATCCGCGGTTGGTTTGCAAACACCCCCAAAGTGGGCAGAGTCAGCTAGGTGCAGGCGTCCATCCACAAAAGCTGGGGCTTCCTTGCATGCAGGTGCTCCGCCGGAGCACCTGCGGGCCGCCGTGGAGGCTCTTGGGGCCTGATGTCTGCACATTCTCGGGTGCAGCACTTCAGATCCGCAGCAGGAGCCTTGCAGGTGGCATTAGAAAATGGCTGCAAATTGTCATTGCAACTGCGCAGCGGCGGCCGCTGCGGCTTGCAAAGCAAAGGTGGCACATGCGGCCAGCGAGAAAGCAAGACTAGCGACTGCCATCCTACAGTATGAGCGCCCTCTGATGCCCTGAGCGCGAGCCCGCCTGCATGAGAGCCACGTCAGAGCCGCCGCCGCCGCTTGGCCGAGCGCGGCTGCCCCTCGGGATCCGATTGGTGCTGAGTCAGCGCGTGGCACCCGCCGAGCGCCAGGCCCGCCGGCGCGGCGTAGAGGGCCTGGCGCGGGTTGGCAGCGCGGGCCGAGGACGGCGCAGCAGCGAAGCCGCGGGCCCGCTGATCGGCCGCCGATGCGGCGGCGGCGATGGCAGGGCTGGTCGAGCGCACGAGCAGAACGACCCTTCGTGGGGCTGCCTGCTGCTGCTGCTGCTGCTGCTGCTGCTGCTGCTGCTGCTGCTGCTGCTGCTGAGGGCAGTAAGCTGCCCCCCTGACCTGCACAGGGCTACCTCCAGCGCCGCTGTTCGCGGCTTGCACGATTGCTGCGGGCGCAAAACGATGGGCGGAACGGTACCCATCATGCCGCGCGGCTGCGGCTGCCGCCGCCGCGGAGTTGGCAGGCACCGCCGCGGCGGCCAGCAGCTGCTGGCGCGCGTGCTGCTGGTAGTGGTAGTGACGCATCAGGAGCTCGTCCTGCCTCCCCCACTGCTGCTGCTGCCGCACGTCCTGGGCGAGCGCACCCATGTGCAGCCGACGCTCCTGGCCGCCGGCCGCCAGCTGCGCTGGTGCAGCGTGGCGAGGCGCTGAGACCCACGGGCCCGCCGCGCCGCCGCCGCCGCCGTTGCAGCAAACCTCTTCGCGCCGCAGCAGCGGCAGGCCCGACGCGTCAGTGGCCGAAGCGGACGCGACGAGGGCCGTGGCCAGCTGCGCCATTCTGTGCCGGAGCGCCTCATGCCTCCGAGCCCCGCCGGCCGGCCGCGGCGCCGCGACCGGCGATGCTGCGCGCCGCGGCGGCCTAGAAGCGGTGGCGCCGCAGTCCTGCGCGCCGCAGTGCGGCGGCGCGGGCTGCGGCGATGCGGGGGAATGCAGGTCGGCCCAGGCGACCTGCTCCTGCTCCTGCTGCTGCTGCTGCAGGTGCCACAGCAGCTCCTGGTGCCCCGGCGACAGCCGCAGCCGCGCGGCCAGCGGCGCCGCGGCGCCGCCCGGCCCCATGCGGTGCAGCAGGGAACTGCTGCACTCGGCCACGCCCCTCAGCCACTCGCGGCTGCCGGCGCCCAGCGAGCCTCGCGCACCCGGCCACGGGTGCGCGACGCCGCCCGCGTCCACGGCTGCGGCAGCGTCGGCGGCTCCGAAAGCGCCGCCAGTGGTGCTGGCGTCGTGGCCGAGGCCGCGGTCGGCCGGGCTGTCGGCGGCCGCGGCGCCGGCGTGGTTGCGCAGGGGCGGCATCGTGGGGCAGCAGAAGGGCAGGCCGCCGTCGCCGCCGCTGCGCACGCTCTCCCTCGGAGGGATTTCGTAGAACCACCCCTCCTGTGGCGGCTCTGCCGGCGG